AGAGAGAGAGAGAGAGAGAGAGAGAGAGGTGAGAATTTATGCCAAAAACCAACAATGTTTTTCGATACGATTTGTAGTGGTGAAAATAATTATGTGAGAACTTCACAATGCCTTCAAAAGTTGTGTGCATGTAACAAGGACACAGGCGGACGTTTAAATGCTCAAAGAATAGAAACCCAAGAATAATTAAAAATTTTAAACTGATACACACGAGAAGAATGCATTGTGAATGCGTTTTGATCTTCATGCCCAACAAGTTCCTTGCCCCCAATTTAACCGAATTTCTATATCCAAAATGACTATTGTAAAACTTGACCTCGTAACCTTCAAATAAATTGTTTGTTACGTAGGACTGAATATAACGTCTTCCTTGCTTATCCTACCCCACATACAAAATATGCCTAAAGAATTGACTCTAATCTTGTTTCATCAACAAGTGATTTATACTCTTTCGAACCAATAAGTAGTGAAATAAAATCGTCGACATATTTGTAAAGTTTGCTTTCAATAAATTTGGGGTTGACTCCATTCGACCATCTACATTTATTGAACAAATTAGATGCTTCAAACCACCACAGCACGGCACCACATGTCGTGTTTCGATATATTTTTGACATATAAATGTAACTACTAACCTACTCCAAAGCAAAAAATCAACAACTGATTGGAAGTTGAAAGCCATTTTAAAGTATCAATGCTATAAACATTCAATGTGATTTCTACTTGATTATTAACAAATACATGGATTGAAATTTATTTGTTCACTGCAACTAATCATTCTTATTGGAATGAACCACAAATTTTTGAGGCCCTTCAATAATACAGCAGAATAACTAGTGATGGTTAGTACTTGGAAAAGTGTCAGTGACACACATCGGCACAATTTTGCAAACATGGAGTGCGTGTTTGGTACACAATAATGAACATAGTAAAGAACATGACTTTGACACCATAATAAGCAAGATTTTAGCTTATTTATTTCCCTTAATTCTTTCCACTACTATCCAATCCTTCTTATCAAACTTGTCAATACTACATATTGAGCATTTCCATTCGCCAGTGAATCATATAACCTATGATGCACCGACATGGCCAGGTGCATCCAACACGATACGTGTCGGGTAAGTCGACATGCGATTTTTAAAAAAAGTACAGACACGACACGTTATCGACACGTTGATTAAATTCTTAAAAAATCTTTATTTATATAGTATAAATTTAGTTTTACACTTGTTATTAATTTTTCTTGTTGAAATATTTTAAACATAAATACATATTTGTTACTTGCAAATAAATTTGAATTAACAATATATAATATTTTTAATATAAAAAGAATAATGATAACGGTAGAGTGTTCAAGAAGTGTCAGTATCGACTCGTGTTCGATACGTGTCGAACACAGACATGCAACCCTAATTGAAGTGTCTGTGCTATGGAGCATATAACTAAGAAATATTTAATTTGCATGATTGTCCTTTGCTTGTCAGTTAGTTGAGTCAAAAATAAAAATAAAACCATGCTTTCGTAAGTTTAATTTTTCTTTCTTGGACATTAAAATAACATTTTACAGCAATGAATTTTCACTTCAGTTGTATTAAAAATAAAATTTCTAACCTAGCTTCTTTCCGAATCCGAGAATCCCTTCCATTAATTTACTACTTACACATTCCAAGTTTCCAACCGTAAATCTACACAGGCCAATGCATTAGCAATTGCCATCTTTTTTTCTATGAAACTCAGACGTACCAAGAAATTGTTTGCTTTCATGAAGATGCTCGAGAATCTGTTCTTTGATCAACAGAAACCTTGACTGCACTTTCCGGAGCTGATTTTACTGTTAACGGCAAATCCACAAGCGTGCTTGGAGGGGCAAAATACATATGTAGTGACATCATGCAGACAATAATTCCCAAAAAGAGCTGCATATTAAATTAGGAACACTTTATTCATCAACATGAGAAAACCAATGCATAAGCTCAAGCCGTTTATAATAACCTGGAGTCTAATTTGCAATAACATCATTTATCATGAGGACTTGGATAGATAAGGGTCAATAGATTAATTGCATCAATTATGACAAGAGGAAGACATGACATTAAGGAAGAAAATAAATAAAATCGTGCATTGATCCTATGTATTTTATGATATATAAGATATACTAATGTAACAAAACATATGGGTGTGCAGTAAAAACTAATATAATCAAGATTTGAGTGAAAACGCCCAGAACTTTATAGTAAGTGCAAGAAGAGAAGATTCTAAGAAGGTTACCTGCACTGTTGGCTTGAAATTGAAAAGGAACACAGATAATAACATTGTCAGTAACATTGCCATGGATGTGGAATATACCTGTATAAAAGGCATCATACTTCATTTTGCATTTAAACGTTACAAGTGAAGAAGAATGTCTAAAAGAAGCAAGCAGTTATAAACATAATCAGCAAATTTTAAGGATAACTCCATTGAAAGAAGCAAGCAGTTATAAACATAATCAGCAAATTTTAAGGATAACTCCATTGACACTTGATATCAAAAGAAGTCCATAAAGGTATTAAAATAACGTGACAAAACCAAGCAATTAACCACATAATTGCATGTTTAATTCAAAACAATTCATTATCAGTTCAAGAAATTTGCAGAAGAGCGGAAACAGAAGCCAAATAATTCAAAATAGGAGAACTATTTCCACAAATGAAGAAAGAAGCAAGACATACCTTTACAATATTGTCTGCATATTTCATTAACCATGATACTAAAAGCCCTGTTGACCCCAGATTTAACACAACCATCCAAGTAGTGATACTGTATCCATTGAAAAGGCGTTGCCACCATGCTCCTTTCTCAAACCCACTTCTAAAATCATCCAAGACAAGCCGTGCCAGGTTGAATATAGCACCAAATCTGAAAGTAAGAACATGTTACTCTATATCAATATTCCAATATGATTTACAGGCTTCTAATGCAAGTTAACTGTTTTTAGATGACAACCGAGAGTCCGAGACATTTCAATGCCAATAGAAGCAGTTTTACATTTAGATAACGGTTTTTGCGTCCGATTGATCTTACTGTTCAAATTCCTTTGAAGCTAGAATTGACTTCTTTGAATCAGGATTAATTCTTTTATTGACTCCTACATTCACATTCATTTCCGTCCAAGTCAGGTATTTAATGACATCTGCATTAATAAAAAGAGCAAATATTGCTTATAGAAATTAACTTTGCAGAAGATCATTTTAGTAAGTTATTATGAGCACTGTATTCAATAGAAGGCGTTCATTAAGCGCCCCAATGCTTATGCTTCAAATGGCATTTGCCAAGGCTTTGGCCTTGACGTACTGAGGTACACACCACAAGGCATAAGCCTCAAGCTGACTGAATTGTGCCATCTTCAGTCTTGCTTTTTTCTGGGCCTTTTTTTTAAACTGACATTGCGGACTGGATTTTCATAGACTGCAACATTTTAGGGGTCTCTTTAGGCAGTTTTAGACACAACTTATCCTCAAAACTAGAAAGAAAAATATTGAATAATAAAGAAGACAATGAGCCCCTATTTCGTTAAAGATTTTTTAGAATAGATTTTGAGAAAAATGATTTCTTTGGAGAATGTGGTTAAAAAAGTAGGGATTTTTTTTGATTTACGTGCAAAAAAATTTATTAGAAGAATGTGTGGTTGAAAATGAATTTGGGAATAAATGAATTTATAGGAAATGGATGCCAAACAAGGGCTAGGTGCGCCATAGCCTCTTACAACTGAAATTTCAACTGTTGGCGACAACCAGCCTGATGTGACACATCTGATATATTATCGAATTTAACATGCCCTAGCCTTCAATATTTTCATTGGTATATAGATGTTTATAACTAAAGTTTTTCTACGATCAGTAGTATGATTTTGGAATGTCTACCTAAAACGTTTGCTGACCACTATTAGGCAACGAAATCAATGTTTGATTATTATGATAATTCGATTTTTCTGTCTTTCATATTTTTCTTGCTGTCTAGGCTTTCTTTTCATTTAAAATAAAAGCACACTATATTGTTTAGATGATTGTTTGTTTCATTATAGACTTTTAGTTCTAGTTGTGGATTGGTAGTCTTGTGTAATTACTACTTTGCTGATTTACCCTTTGAAACACTGTTAATGCGTTTAATGCCTTTAATTGCAATTTAGGCTCTTAATTTTATAGGCACGTTTATTACATAGGTTTATTATGCATATATTTTTATATTGTTTAAAGTTTTTAATCATTTTACTGGTTTATGTTGAGACTTATGCCTTAAAAGTGCCTCAAGGCTTACGCTTCAATCCCAATTTAGCAACTGTTTGACTCTCTTTAAATTAAAACTTTTGATTTCTCATATTCACCTTCAACCACACATTCACACAATAAAATATTTTACACGTAAACCCAAAACTTTTCCCTACTTTTAATCACACATTCTCCAAAAAATCACTATTCAAAATATCATTTTCCCCAATTTCTCTTTATAATGGCTTTCAAACAGGGGCTTAGTCTTTCCAGGTTTCAAGAGCTGATGAGTTTACATAACAGCTTTGCAGTGTCTACGCATATCAACTTAGTGTAAGTTCTGGCAATTGTTCTTGATCAAAGAAAAAAACTCACGTATATAATTGAACATTCTGCCAGTACAAGCTATCATTGTTCTTCTTCATCAAGAATTCTGTATAAACACCAGCTAGGGCGGAAAGACATGCAGACAATATGCCCAACAAGTATCCCTGAATTGGTGATGAAAAGAGCGAGTCACAGGAAGATTCTCCACAGCCTTTCACCTATGCCAACATAAGATGGAAGTGTGTTAAGGCTATGAACACCGCTATGGTGATTTATGCATAGAAGACAATATTTTCACTTGACAAGCCACCCATCATGATTGAGAATTGTCATCTAACACGTCAAATTTCGAAATGACAACTTGTTAAGAGGTGCATATTTCTAATTCACAACTAACCCATAAATATGATAACAATTCGTCTGCAATATACTAATTACATATTTACAAAGCCATACATCCTGATAATAATAAAAAAATGGAAATAGCTTTAGTCCTTTGCCAAGCCAGTAGCAATCAAGTTGATAACCTTAATGATAGCAAATTGGACAACTTTCCATAATCGAAGAATGATTAGGAGAAAAAATATATAGTTATTAGACTAGATTTAATTTGAGTTGACTACACCCTTTCCTCTATTATTTGGTTTAAGCTAGGAATTTTTTTCTTTTGTTAGTTTCGTAGATTTCCTTATTTACTATAGATTTTATGCGTAAGTAAGAGAAAGAGTTTTCAGAATATTGATTATTCGATACAAACAATATTGTTATTTCCTCCCCCAATGCTCCTCTCCTTCCTCTCCCCTCTCTTTATTCTCTGTATTCATGTGTTCTAAACAGTGCATTGCATCACTTGATGTGTTCATGGTCATCCAGAAGTTAAACAGAAATTTGTAACATATTAAGAAGCGCAATCATAAATAACATGATTTTATAAGGGGATTCAGACCAACACTTAAATGTTCTAATAGGTAGTTGCCTTAATAAAAGTAATATGTCACACAGTTATAAATGCAGCATGAGAACAAAAGAGAGTGGCAGAAAGGATCCAAAGAGCACCTGGCTCGTGGTTGTTCCAACAGCCAATAGAACAATTGCCATCCACTGTAAATTAGAGAGCTTCCTCTTCAAAAATAGTCTAAAACAAGGAATATGAGTATATGTCAATTATATTATATGAAGATCAAAATTCGAGGGCAATAGCTATGATTCAAACAAGAAAGCAATCAAGTTTAAACATAATGAGCCAAAGATTTAAAGTGAACCAAAAGAACAATTGAGAAGAGGTGCTCAACCTAAATAATATTCCAGTTGTAACAATCTTCAAGTTTCCCATAATCTGATATGTAGATGTATCCACATATGTCAATGTAGCAAACTGAACATTGTTGTGAATGAGATATATGATTGATGGGATTGGGTATAAACGAACACTCTTCCATTCTGTGGTCATTTTAGGAGGAGGTGATCTCTTGCACTCTCTCCACAAAAGAACAGCAGATACAATAAGCTGCATTCAATAAAATCCAAAATCCATCACAATAAATTATTGTAGAAAAAAGGTTAACTCCAGACCCGATAAAACTTACATCGCCAAAGATTCACTCGTTGCGAAAAGTATTCATAAGATTTTCACATTTCCACATGAATGAACTTTAAATCCTAATATCAAACTCAAAATTATTCCCAGTGAAATTTTTTTCATCTACTATGCAGTACTATCAACTAAAAACAAAAACCTAAACATTGCAATCAATTTTTCTTTAAAATACAATAAATAGATTAACCTTATAAACTTCAGCAAGAAAAGGCACAGTGGCATAGTCATATTTGTATCCCCCATTACTCTGTGATAATGTTGTCAATATTCCCTGCCACAGAACAGCACATTCAAAACCCATTTACTCCAAAGATCACACGCGCGCACACACACAAATAGAAACCCAGATTTATACAGATCAGATTGAAATACAAGCTAATAATTAACTCAAAAAAAAAATAATAATAAGAACCTGAGAGCTCGTAAGAATGGTGAGAAGCGAAGCGACGACGTACCACTGCATCTTTTCCTTCCTTTCACTTCTACTGTAAAAATCACAACAGACTAGTTTCTTGTTCTTCAGCGATTTTCGATTGTGCCCCTAATATTTTGGTTATTCAATTTACACCCTAATTCTTTTGCTTAATTCATAAATGGTATTTGGTAAGATTAAAAACTCCATGGTCATCGAACTTTCAAAATGTGTCATTTCAGTTATTAAACTTTTTTTACGCATAAAAAAAATACGAAGTTGTTTTATTATCGCTAATTAGTAATTACGCATTCATTAGTCGATATAACAATTACAGTGATAATACATCGACAATGATATTTTCGACGGCTTTCAAAATGTGCTACTTTGGTCGTCACACTTGTTTAAGGCCTATTTGATATAAAAAAAATATTATTTTTTTGAAGAATGTTTAATTAAAAAGTATAAAAATGTCATGCGTTAACATACAAAATCATTTTATTGGGAGAATGTATAATTAAAAATAAGTTTTACATAATATGCAAAAAGTCGAAACTTTGTGCATGAAACGTACTAAAATTACGAAGTTGTTTCGATTAATATGGTGATCCAACAGACAGACTTGAGTGAGGAATCAAAATAACATGATAAAAAATCTATCAAAGCAGTATCTGCCTATAATAAATTTAAGAGTGAAAATATTTAAATGAGTGCGTAAGATCAAATTTGCATGTGGGACAAACATTTCTAGCTTGTTCAAGTCATATTATCAACCTTATTAATCATATGAGCAACGCTATTAAATCTTTGATTAGTCATGCTTAAGAGTTGCTTTTTCAAAAAGCTGATAAGCAAAAGTCACAAATATTACGTAGAGTCCATAATTTGTTTATTTGAAGTTACCAAAAAAGTGGACCCAAATACTTAGAAGCACACCCAACCAATTTCTTGGACACTAACAAAACCATTTGCTAATGGAACGCTCTACACCAAAAGATGATAGCTTCAATAGAATTTCATTGAGTATATTGGAACCATCCATGTTGAAATCAATAAGATTAAAAATAGCGGAAGTATAAACATACCTTGATCCATATATTTTTTATTCTTAACATGAATGAGTTATAATCTTCCAATTTATTGGTGATCTTCACTTCAATTTTGCTCTCTAGTGATGGGGATGTAGAGAAACTCAAGAATACCAACAATTGGGGACCATAACCATATAAAATAATAGTAGTAACTCAATAGTCACTGTCTTTCAGTTGCTTCAAATTGGCCACTCATCAATTTAAAACAACACTCCGATCTCTACACTATAATTCCATGAAACATAATACCTATTAGTCAAATTTCATTTTTAGTGGATCACTTTAATTGANCACTCCGATCTCTACACTATAATTCCATGAAACATAATACCTATTAGTCAAATTTCATTTTTAGTGGATCACTTTAATTGACTAATATCTTATAAATAATAGCACCACACATTTTAATATACAACGTGTGGCCTCAAATATGATGAAATTATCCAACAATCTCCCACTGGGCCATACGTGTAACCTTACAAATGTGCACAACTTTATGAGCTCAAAATTTTGCTATCATTATTATGGGTATTTCAAACAATCTCGTCCATCAGTCATATTGATATAGGATCAAAGCGATTTTCGTCACATTTAGCGTGACTAAACCCATCAATGGTCACGTATACCCATACAACCAAATGACATAGATCAATCATGGAGTGTAGCACGGAAATTACAT